TGTAGCTAGAGTACTAAACATTAGGTGTAGCTAGAGTACTAAACATTAGGTGTAGCTAGAGTACTAAACATTAGTTGTAGGTAGAGTACTAAACAATAGGTGTAGCTAGAGTACTAAACATTAGTTGTAGGTAGAGTACTAAACATTAAGTGTAGGTAGAGTACTAAACAATAGGTGTAGCTAGAGTACTAAACATTAGGTGTAGCTAGAGCACTAAACATTAGGTGTAGCTAGAGCACTAAACATTAGGTGTAGCTAGAGTACTAAACATTAGGTGTAGCTAGAGCACTTTGTTCTCCGTCAAGAACTTGAGTAAAGTGTGATTTTTATTACAATGTTTTTATAGACTGGTTTTTAAATTGACATTTATTTACCCGATCATCCTATCACGTATTTAGTTGAGGGAACACGATGTTTACTAATGTCCAACAAGTTTAATAATGCTTGTTGATACTGAAATCCGACTTTCATAATGAATATACTGTGACGTCAGTAACTGGTGACCTTTCTGTACGATACTAGTTTCTTACTTCTTTCAAATATTTTGGAAGAGACAGCGTGTTGAATTATTGAGCTAAGAATCCTTACTTATCAAATATTTAAAGTGACTATATAGACAGAAGTAGAATAAGATACGTGAAAGCGTTATCTTCCTAAACGTAAGATATGGTCTTACCTGTAAAGTACCAGGGAACTTGAGTGGAGCCGGGAAGAACGCGGGCCTCCCTCGGAAACGGTCGCTGTGGCTGGCCATTTCCAAATTTCGTTAAATCAAACTAGTGTTACCGTGAACCAGAATCCGGTAAAATTTAAGACGTCGTAGGTTTCATCCGGCGCGTAACGAAACCAGAAGTTGCTAATAAAATCGGCAACAGGATATGTCAGTGTTAATAGCGATGACCACCACAGCCGTGTATAAAGTTATTTAAGTTAAACTCTGTAGACAACTGTATTAATTACACGTGCACAATCTCAACACCAGCCACTGACTCACGCGCGCTGAAACCTTCCCGAACAAACCGTACTTAAAGCACGCGTCCAAACCTCTTGTGCCGGGTAATCATTGGCTAGCTGATTTGTAATAAAAAGACTTCGAGTCTTGTCAAATCCTAATAAGGCTAGACGCTAGCAGGGGCAGGACATGGCCCTTAGAGCAAATAACGAGTTTACGAAGAAATTTCAAGATCAAAATAAAAGTTCAATCGCTCACCAGTTAAAGTCGTCTGCTAGTAATCGAACGGGAACATTTTGACACGGAACCGTCTGTGGGGGCTGGGCAAAAGTGCGCTTTAGAGCCGCCATTGGTCAATTTTGTAGCTGATTGGACA